CACACGCACACACACACACTCAGAAGGCAAATGTTGAATATTGTACCTGCATTAACTTCCTCACTGAGGCTGTATCGAAGCCTGTGGGGATCAAGAGAAAAATTAGCACACAGAATTATACAGCTGCTTTATCATTAGAGTTATTCTGATATCTGTTACCCTACCTTGACTGATGAGGTGGTCAGATAGGCAGCCACTGAAGAGGGAGGAGGGTATGGCCACCAACCAGGGAATGACATTGAACACCCAACCCTGGACAGACAACATGTTTTATGGGCGAGAATGAACTTGACCAGAAACAGCAGGGAACACGGAGTATTAGGTCATTTCTCATAGGGTGTTAGGTACTTGTCTGGTATTTGTTTTTGGGTTGGTCCACCACTTTGATTCAGACTGAAATATTTCTCATCATGTAGTGGATTGCATGAAATTTGAGATATCAGACATGCATTTTCCCCCAGAGGATGAAGCCTACCAAATTTGATCATGCCCTGACTCTTTATCTAATGCCACCAGTAGGTCAAAGGTTGTATTTATGTACCAGGTGGACTGGCACAAAATGTTCTTTAGACATTCATGGTTTCCAGACGATGCAGTGTAATGAATTTAGTGATCACCTGACTTTTCATCTTGAGTTTAGTCCTAAGCGAATATTAGCATGCTTACATGCAAAACTAAAGAAATGAGGAAAACACAAGACAGATTGAAGAGCACACAGGTATAAATGCTCATAATGGTGTACGTAATTTGCATGGGCTCGATGTAGAGCCGACGTACAACTATAAATCATCCTTAAAGGTCCAATGTGTAACATTTAGAAGGCTCTATTGGCAGAAATGGAATATAATATACATAACTATGTTTTCTTTAGTGTATTATCACCTAAATGTGGGAATTATTATGTTTTTGTTACCTTAGAATCAGCCGTTTATATCTACATACACTGCAGGTCGCCTATGTTGAACCACTGTTTCTAGAGTGTGATGAGTGAGTTGCAATCTACAACTACACCGCTAGATGCGGCTAAACCTACACACTGGACCTTTAAGTACACAGCCGTAATCTTAAGGTCTAATATGTGATCAAAGAGAGGATGAAAAGGTAGCCTGGTTACCTTGGCATCGGGGAAAGTGTCTTTAAAGAATGTTGGCAGCCAAGACAAAAGAGTGAAGAAGGTGCTAGCTGTGCAGAGGTGCGTAACTATCACAGCACTGGTCCAGGACATGAAGAGAGAGGGAAACAGAGAAAATAAGTGCATTGAAACTATATTTACAAATACCAATGGTTGCTCAGTCTCTTGAGCTTCTTCTTCTTCTTCTTTGAGCACCGTATCATGACAGAAGCTTGTGCCTGTGCTACTTGTCTGACATCTATTGTATTTCTGTCTAAATCACGTCTGTGTTAAGGCAAGTAGCATGTGGTTGAAAGTATCAAGAGTTTGTGAATATTTTAAGCCCAGAGCCATCAAACTGTCATCTAATCTGTCACTCTGAAGGTGGACCAGAAACATCAAATAAAACCACTGAGGTTCTCCCTGTCACTGGAAATAGAGCATATCCGTTGCATTACAGTATATAAATATCTGGGCCATAGGGAGAGACTGGAAGGACATGGAAAAACTCAATATCAGAAACATTAACAGACAGCTGAGGCAACCATAGACTAAGCTTGCTATTCTAAAATCCGGTATATAAAATCTGGATCTCAGTCTACAGAAGCGGTTGTATTATAGAAACCTCCTCAATAACGTATCTGCAAACCTCGAGATATGTTTTTATATATTTCTACATTCTTCCTCTGAAATTATTCTTATAAATATTTATATAATTTTCTGGATGAGCCCTTAACTCGATATGCTAAAAACTACAATTTGAGACTTTGGATGTTGCTGTAATGTAGCCACAGGATTATAATACGACTTCCTGACTCAAGCTCTGTAAGACAGGCAAAATTAAAGCTGCTCATTCGTCTGAATATGAAAACAAACAAACAGTTGTGTGCCTATGGACACAAAGGAGCTGCACAGAGTACAAAAATAAACACATGCACACAGAGGACTGCACATGCACACACGCACACTCCCTTTATCTTCATCTCACCAGACTGCAGGTTGCTTGAGAAGCCGTAACCAATGTCTTTTTGACAGTTTGGACTGGGGCCCACCACTTCCCAGGGACTCCAGGGTGATGATAGGCCCTGCAAATACAGATGAACACAGGCACGTGGGCATACAAGAGGACACTGACTCCAGTTATACAAATAAGCAGCTGCAAGATAGGAGCGTGCAGTGACACCGCAGATACGGTCTGTTAAAGCCTCCCATACCTTCTCCTTTGAGCAGATATTTCCACATGCAGTAGGCCCACAGGACTGAGAGGAGACCAGACACATAGAAAACGCTCTCCCAGCCATACAGGTCCAACATGAGGGAGCCAGCCCCTCCAATCACCAGAGTTCTGAAAAAAAAAAGCCACAACAAGGCATGACAAGTTACACACCTTTGTTTCAACACAGTAAAGTAATGTTCATGACATGAGCTGAACTTTGAAAACAAACAAATATCAGGCTGAACTGGCTATCTGCACATAGATTATAGAAGGGGGTATTAGAAGTGATTGTTGGATCCCAATAGCCACAGATTTCAAAAGGAAACGATTTGCACTTCACAACAGTGATTTTCTAGGAGGAACACTCATCCCTTTCCCACCATTCCCTCTATTTATTACACAACACTTGACTCACCCCAGGTAGGAGCCACTACCCACGGTGCTCATGAGGAAGCCTCTCTCACTTTCCACCACCTTTTGAGAGCACAGACTCGCCAGAGAGGGGTAATGAACTCCTAAAATCAGGAAACAAAATATAATCTGTTAATGATTAGCAAGAAAGATATTCCAGGAAGAACAAAAAGGAAGTAGAAGTAGGGTTTTACTGCCTCATCACACAAAACAAACAAAAATGTCAACACCTGTGTTTGTAACAAGAGCTTGTTGCCAAAAGTTATTAAAAGACACTCCCAGATCACCCCACCCACGTAAAATATTAATTGCTATTCTCAAGCCAAATAAAAAACAAGGGAAAGTAAAACTTGCCAAACTGGACTTCCCTGCTGCGATCAAACTTAATTATGAACTCTCTACACCTTGAAAAAAAGTGTTCACAAATGACATATAGTAATTTCAGGATTGCAGTTCATCTTATTTACGCTCTCTTTTCAAAAGCCGTCCCTCTCACCTTGCAACAAGCCCATAAGAAAGCGGGCCAGTGTCATGGAGAGGATTGGCTGGGAGCAGAAGTGGGCCAGGATGGGAGTGAAGGCTGTCATCGACCCCCAGGCAGCTGCTGACAGCAGGAGGACCTTCTCACCTCCCACCCTGTGTACACAGAATGTAGAGCGTTAGCTTTAACATCTGTGCTTATATTAGAAAAAGGTTGTGAGCGGTGGCACAACGTTGATCTCTTGCACACTAGATCAAAGGGTAAGTAGAAAATAGTAATTCTGCCTGCATTATCTACGCCATACATGTTTGTAAAAGTAAAATTAGGCACTGTGGATGTGTGGTAACTCACAGACCAAGCATTTTGAGGAATCATTATAGACTCTTAACTTTAAAGTGACAATTCTGGAGCAAATAAAGCTCTTCAAACACATTACACAGCCTGTTTATGACACCGTGAGCCTACAACAGTTAACAACATGATAATACAAAGAAAACATCCGTCTCCATTCACCACATTATCCGTTTTATCTGACTCGCCCGAACAAACACAAATGGGCTGTTTGCGTCACTGCCAGTAATGTTGCAAATGCAAATCATAGCTCACAAGCAGGAAGCATTAACAGGTGCCAATTGAAAAATAAGTGTCACTATCAGCATTCATATCAAAGCTGACATCTATGTAAAGAGAATTAATTATCCTCATCCCTCTATTATCTCACAGCACGACTACTGTTTGGGCTCCAACGTCACCCACCGGTCACTGACGTAGCCTCCGAACACTTGGGTGAAGCAGTAGCCCCAGAAGAAGCTGCCCAGCACCATGCCGGACTCCCTCTTGCTCCAGCTGAACTTTTCTGCCATGCTGACGGCGCAGATGGGCATCGCCACACGGGCGCAGTACAGGAGGCATGTCCCGAGCAGCAGCACCACTGTCCATACCCTCGCCACTGGCCTGCGAAAGGAGGGGAAGAAGAGGGGGTTGAACTGTACAAATTCTTGGTTGAACTATAGGCAACACCTGGGGGACAAACTTTGGACTTAGTAGATAGGGGATGTCTTATGTCTAACTGAGGGAACTACTGCACTTTAAACACATCCAATATAAAGTGGCTTCTATCTTCTTTAGGGTTACATTTAGGATAAAATACATTTAAAATCAAATCTATAGGGAATATGTGCAACATCCTCAAAAGAAAGGGTGTTTGGTGTCTGAACAGATATTTTATGAGACTACATTTTTCACAAAGTAAGCCCAACTTACTTCCTCCTTCACAAACCATTTGACCTATGTGGCACTGACTGCTGCTGACATCTTGAGCACCAGATATGATACGTGTCATTTTTTTACTAGCAGATACAGAAGCACTTTGGTTACAAAAGGACGTCTATATTTTCTGATGTAGGACACACACACACACACACACACACACACACAAAAGATTAAACACAGCTCACGTTGGGGGCCCCTGGGGAGATTGCTTAGCCTGTTGAGTCGCTGATGACACGAGTAAACACGAGCAAACAATTTCAATACACTGTATCGTGATTTCTGTATGAGGGTTCTCTTTACCTGGACCAGGTGGTGTGTTCAGGCCACTTCTTGTAACATCCAGGGACTCCGATCTTGTCCGACGGATGGTTTTCCTTGTGACAGACCAAATCTGGACTATAGTTCTTGCCATGTTTTTGAATAACTGCCATTCAACGCGAGCTAACAGCAGCCTCCTTTCAACCGCGTCGGCTGTTTTCTGTTTTTTTACTTTTCTTTCCGGTCGATCAGTCAGAAAAAGTAACCGTGTACAGAAAACAACAACAACCCTCCTCTTTTAAAGTATTTCCGCAATCACATCCCCCGTGTGCGTTTCGGTATTTTAATCCATAACCTGTAAAAGTGGACTAACGGAGCTGAGCTACGAGGCTACAGGAGGAGGAGGAGGAGGAGGAGGAGGTCTGTTTTTCCTTGATGCCCTAGGAGGAGTAATCCACGTGTCAGTTTTTTCCTCTACTGCCTCCTCCACCGGCCGAGCCGCAGTTCTTCCTCTGATCGGTAGGGTTATCCAGGAAGTGATTTTAGTCTCTTCAGTAAAAAAAAATAAAAAAAATAAAAAAAAACCCGACTCCAGCTGTCCTCAATCATCCATTACAACAACAAAAAAATAATTAAAAAAAAAAACCCAGAGAGAGAGAGAGAGGGAGAGAGAGAGACGCCTCTAGGGCTTCGGTCACTCTCCAAGCATGACGGTGCAATATAGTAAATGTGTCTGTGTCGTCTCTGGGAGCATCGCTGGAGCACCAGGATGTACTCTCCTCCTCCTCCTCCTCCTCCTCCTCCTCCTGACCTGTCCTTGCCGGATGAAGACGTGATGGTGCCCGCGCTGAGGAGAAGCTGCTGTGGGGCAGAGATAATGCGCAGTCTGCTGCCTGCGAGCTTGTTTCAATAGCTGCTGGCCATATGAGTGAGCGTTATATAATAGTCTGCATTCAGCCCAACTTTTAGCAGCTCTCACTGTCTGTGTGGGGGTAATGGTTGATGGTGGAGTGGAAGATATACTCGAGATAAAGTAGCAGCTTTTATATATATATATGTATAATTAGGATACTCCGTTATAATAATGGATTTTTGGTAAAACTGCTTTGTACCAATTCACAGTGGTGGGATGTAAATAAGTATAGTTCCTGGAGTACTACTTAGAAGTGGTGCAAGGAGTCTTTTAGGTCAAGTAAAAGCTTTTAAAATCCCAAGTGAGTAAGTATTATTAGCTACATTTAGGCTTATTTAAAGAAGCAAAAGTAGAAAAATTAGGAAGAAAAAAATGTCACAAGTTTGAATTTCTATATATGTTATATGAGTTTTACCTTAGAGCCTCAGATATTCATTTAACAGTTCAGAGCTTAGATGTCTCTTTGGTGGAGCTGCTAACAACTTATGGTCACTAGCCCAGCAGGTTAGGAACCACTGTGTTAATGTATAATGATCCATTGCATTTTTTGAGCTTATATATTTTTAATGCAAATTCTTAATTTGTAAAGTAACTAACAAAAGCTGTTAAATAAATGCAGTGGAGTAAAAAGCACATTTACCTTTGAAATGTAGTGGAGTAAAAGTATAAAGTGTTCTACTTTATAGTTTTACTCGACCAACTACAACTGTAGAATTAATCAGTAATAATACTCCAATAATAATAATAATATGTGGTAGTATAAGTCAAAGAAGACATTATTCTACACAGTACTTTTACTTTTAACATTTTAATACTTAAGCGAAATTGTCAGTGCAGGACTAAATAGTAGTAATGATTAAAAACACACCAAGCTTTTCATTCCTTTATGATCTGCGCAGTTTAAAAATTCACTTTTATTGCAAAATAATATCCCAGCAAAAAAAGCACATCAAATTCAGCGAAAGAGCTACTTATTCCATACATGTAAATAATCCATCTGTAAAAGTGTCTCCATGTCTGTGGACATAGATTTATCCATTCACATCTTTTAATATATTCTGTGATATTGTATAACATTATGAAACAGAGGCTGCCTTTAAGCTTGCACAGTCACAGTATGCTGCAAAGTTCTTATCATTCCAGGAATCGCATCATGTCTCACTTGTTAATTGCTCCCGCGATGTAAGCTATACATCACGGTAGCTGATGATCTTGTCTATGTCCACATATTCTTGTAATGTCTCAGGCAATAATGCAGTACCAATCTAAAGCTGAATTTTCAAAGTCACAGTAGTTTGAAACATCCCAATATCTTGCTTTGGCTATTGCCATCACATAGAGGACTAGCTAAATGACTACAAGCTGAAATGTGTATGTTTTTTTTTATAAGGAAAAGGTTTGTGTTTATTTGAGGCAGTGCACACTGAGCCAACCATTTTCCCTAAACATCAGAATTAACCCATTCTAAGTGGTCACACACAGAAAGTGACAGCCTAATTTAGGCTTTATTCACATCCTCCCATGCCAACAACTTTCCCTGCCGACAGACAGAAAAACTAGTGTACTAATTTTACATAAACAAATATGTAAATTATAATACCAAGTAAAATAATGGTCTGCATTGTTACTTTAGTGTGAGAAATTGTTTTAAAATGCCATTAATCCAGTTTGCACATTCTAAGTTATTAAAGTATCAAAAATCAACCCTTACAAAAAAGAAAAGGTTGTACTCTATATGAGTCAGTTGTTTGGGGTATAAATAGATAAAGGAAATGTGTCCATTTTGTAATGTTGTGGTATGTTTTCACTGTGGGTCCTTATTTGGGGTCTTCAATGGTTCCCTTGCTGAGGTCTGTCATTTTGGGATACTTCACTTTCTTTTGGTCAAGTTCATTTTGGGCCCACAGCAGTAGCTTCAGGAGCTTGGCCAGCTTGGGTGTTGACTCTCTGTTTTCATAGTCGAGCACACACTGATTCACTTCACTCCATACCTGAAAGACAAAGACATGTGGACATGTTATTGCTTTGTATACTGTCAATAGTACACAGTGGAAGAGGCATGTCATACCCCGAGAAATAATGTAAAAAAAAAAAGTGCAACATAGACAGACACAGACAGATCAAGGAATTTGTATGTAATTAGTTTGAAAAAAATGCCATTTTTCCTAAAACATTTTGCACCACTAACTGAACAGATGCAGAATAACCTTTTTAGTTTCACAAATTCCAGGTGGCATGCAGTTGGAACTGACCTATTTATATGAAAAGTATTTCCCAAGTGCTATTA